TTCTCATTTCACGTGAAAGTCTTGATTTAGAATTCAACTTCAATTTGTTGGGGAAAATCACCAATGCAAAATCGTTCATAACGGAATTCAGAAAAAAGTTTTTGTTAAAAGTTTTGTATGAGGCTACTTTCATATTCTATTTCATAATAAATCTTACACTTTTCTAAACATAAACCTTTCTTTACATTCTTTACATTTATAACCTCAAAATCTCTCTAAAAAGAAACAATCTCTTTGATTCAATGCTGTACACACTTATCATCTACTGAATATTCCTGCCGCCCCTAACAAATTTGAAAAATATATTACACCCAAAAGGCTTGAAAAAGAACACAATGAAAACAACCTTAATTTAAGCACTGAATGTAATGGATATCAGCAGGGAGAAAAGTGTTCTCCCAATGGCCGGTTTTGTTTCCTATTACAAATCATTATCAGGATTTCTATTTTATGATCGCTAACAAATTTCTGGGTGCCGTTGGTTTAGTTCAAATGCACCTTATCGAGCGCGACAGTAATTTAGGAAGTTCCGTGTTCTGCTTCAGATATATGTTCCCTCGTGGAATATTATTTTTCAAGAAATGATGCTTCCTCACAGGTCTCATGTTGCTTGTATCCCTATATCCACTTTATTAGAAATATAGCCAGCAGTAGTTAAATTCAATTACGGTTAGAGAGACCCGGATATCTCTATAAAAACTTTACAAATTCGCAGGAGTCAGTGAGTCATATATTAAGGTCTTTACCAGTGGTACTTTGTTGCTACTGAGCTTGAGGTAAGATGATTCAGAGACGCTCGAATGTTGGATCTGGATTTAGGAAGGATTGGTTGATGGGATTGGCACCCCCTCCTGGCCTCTCAAACAATTTGTTCGGATTAATCAAGTTTGTAAATTTATGGCGTACTGTAATACTGATTCATAGACGCTTGGAGATAAATTAAGGGTGCATGACACATTTCTAAACCTCGCTTTCAGTTGTTGCGCTCAGTTCAAGTGCTTTGACTGGCTCATTCAAACTAGGCTCTCGTGTTTTAATCAAATAACAGGTGTCACTGGGCTGATTGTTTTTCTTTTTTTCTATTTCTTTTTTTTTTCTTGTTTTGTTTTGTTTTGTTTTTTCATCCCTTCATTCAAAGCATAATAATCAGAAGAAAACTGAAACACAGACCTAAGCACCGAATTGCACGGATATTCTTAACCTGATAACTAGACTAGTTAAGAAAGAGGGAAGGGTCTAAGGGGGAAATTCCATCCTCGAATGATTCCTTTGACAAATTTGTTTACTTTTTTTTCTTTGTGGACAATCTATCACGGAACGAATTTTCCGAAACCAATGCATGTCTTAAAGGACATTTCTAAATCCAAGTGTTAATGACGCTTTCTTAGGATAAGATGCGACAGCACCCACGCATTGAACTGCCTACTTTCAAGGTTGGATTCTGTTTAATATATTTGCCTCTCTTTTGTGCCGGCCTCGTGTATTTTTTTAAACTTTAAAGATCGTAGGCTCGCAAGACTGTTTTTAACAATCTCAACTTTTGTATTAAAAAGGATTTTACGTCAATTGTCGCTCATTTCTATATTAGCGCAGTCATTAGAGTGGTTATTTTCTTCGTGAATATAATAATTTCGGCAAGAGGAGAAGGAATTTCGTCCATAAAATGTCGTCTGCGGTACGTACTTGAGCAGCCATTTCGAATCCTTGTTTACCTACTGCAAACTACGTGACCACACAGCTAAAAAGATCTATTACTAGGGCTGCTCATTTTATAAAGAGAAATTAACATTTCGGGAGACGAGGAGTGGCACATAGGGGAGGTAGGAACAAGGGTGCTGTGCATCAGCATTAGAGGAAAGAAGGCATCTAGGTCACTTGGAGATAAGGCATTATTGTATGTTCGGTAGATTTGGATTTAAGGCGTCTTTTGCAAAAATAAAGAAGAGTATAAACTTACAAGTCCCATAACAAGGTGTTTTTGCTAAAAATGTCTGACGGTAATCCCTTCAACTGATTGTTGTCCAACCGCCTAGCAAAAAATGGTATAATCACATCATTTAGTACGTTACACCAGTTAAGGAAGGTCAAGAAACACAGAAAATGCTTGTAAACAGACTGTTAGCGTCAATAAAGCGATGCCTCCTTTGTAGTTGCAATAAGAAAACGAGTTATATTGTAGAACAAAACGACTTTGAGGGTTTTCTATTCGAAGCATTGAAAACAGTCCACTGAACAATTTAAAAATTCCTCTCTACTCCCTCTGTATCTTCCAATCACCTATTGTTATAATACATGAGGCTTTACCATACGAACTGATATGAAGTGTAGACCACTTCATGAGTCAGGCGACGCTAATTTGTTTTCATGAGGGTGGGGGGAAGGGTAGTTAATTAAGATACCAAAAGAAGTATGAAAGGGAAAAATAATGAACTAATAATTAAGAATGCGTGGAATAGACAGACGTTGGCAGAGAAGAGTAAGGACAATTTTCTCGTGTTACGACTGGTTTGCGGCCCAGTCTGGGTTTCCATACGAGAAGTTAGTTTTTAAACATGCCCAGAAGTGGCCTTTTCGAACGGTGCCACATAGCTGCATGATACCGGTGTACAAATGTATGTAATATTTTCCGCAGCCAGCCGTAAAATTGTGCCTTATTTACCGATAATACTGGAGGTGGGGAAACTAAAACACCAACAAAATCATTTTAATTTATTTGCCTAAATTGCAAAAAAAAAAAAAAAAAAAAAAAACGCAGGAAATGGCATTTCCGAAACCATAGATTTAAAAATGTTCTGTAAGAGCATGCCCCCAGATTTCTTATAAAGGGGTAAGTTTCTAAAGAAACTGTGGTGCTGCGTCGGTGGGAGAGTATAGCAGGTAATTTAGTGTTAACAACTGGGTTGAAAACGTAAATTAGCCACCGTAAAGGGTAAAAAAGCTGACGTTTCGAGCGTTAGCCCTTCGTCAGAGCGATAGGGCTAACGCTCGAAACGTCAGCTTTTTTACCCTTTACGGTGGCTAATTTACGTTTTCAACCCAGTTGTTAACACTAAATTACCCAGATTTCTTAGTTTGGACGGCCTTCACCGCTCGATATTATCTCCTCGTGCGTTCACAAAAAAGTTTGACGCTACACCTGGAGGATGTCAACTTCTCGATCGGTATATTTTTGCAATGTGATAACTAGGCGAACAATAACGTGCAATAATAACCACCAGCGCTACGTTCAAAAATACAAACGGTTTAACAATTCATCGGCGGTGTGACGGTAGCGGCGAGATTCGTAATTTCGTTCGTCGCCATATACGTGCATTGCATGAGGCTACAGAGTTTGTCGGATGTGATGTGATACATTATTGCGACCATTATAAAACCATCAACATAATGATAACGAGACTTGTGAAAATCATAATTCCCCGCGATGGATATTCGATTAGATAAACTAAAAGCAGGGAATTAGACAGGAGTACCGATCGTTACGTTTAGCTTTTCGTAAATACTACGAGTACGTTTCGGTGCTGAAACCACACGATACAGACCCGTATTCTTCGAGAACACGGACATATCCGGACGTACCGTGTTCCAAGACATGCGATGTGTCCACCGAGTGTCAGGAACTTTATTCGTTCCAATTCGGACTTAACCCGTCGCATGGAAAATCCGATGTCAGGATACGTCATTGAAACGCGGCGTGTGGAGACCTGGAAATTTCCTTATACTTTCAGATTTGCCGCAAATAATGGTGTACCGTATACGAGCGCGCGGTCAGTCAAATTGTGTCTTTCTTTCGTGTCTTTCTAAAAAAATTGTCTTTTCCACCGTGAGAACAGTTTCACTAAGTATTCTTGTCCCGAAATTCTACGGTACCAGACGAATCGATCTGTACTCTAGAACCCGATTTTCCACGGTAATACGAGAATCGCGTAGTATTCAAGAACCCGAAATTCCACGGTACTAGACGAATCGGTCTGTATTCTAGAAGCCGGTTTTCCACGTTACTATGAGAATGGCTTGATATTCAAGAACCCGAAATTTCTCGATACTTGAAGAATAGATTCGTATTCTAGATTTTGATATTCCGCGGTACGAGAAATTTCACTCGGCATTCTTGATCCACACTACATACTATCAGGTGTTCTTGGAAAAAGCGACGAATTCTCCCGATAATTTCGCACCCTCTTACTAGTGTATTTTTCTCAGAACCTTTACTCTATAAAACAATAAATTATTTAATATCTAATAAATAATACTCAAAATGACCAATTTACAGAATCTATTTCATCATGTGATGACTAACAAATAAGTCTAACCTTATGCACAAAAAGGGAAAAAATTTAGATTGTGTGTAATAATTAAATATACTAAGCTAAAAGTGCTTAATGCTTGACATGGATGAAAGCAACATTTTCAATATTTACATACATCATTACACCACGACAATAATTTTAGTATGATAAAGACATTTTTTCATCAGTCAGATATGAAGACAAGAATAACAAAAAGAAATGTCTATACTCTAATATTAGAGAGTAATAAAATTTTATCAAAAACAACAATAAATTCTAAGCAAGTCATACCATGTTAACAACTTAGTGAGCCCTAGTTATTTGCTGAGCTGGATAGTGCCTTTTTAAAGCCAATTCTTTAACATAAAAGTTGTTTGAAGAGCACAATAATTCAAGAAGCTTGTTTGAAATCATTCCAATAAAATTAACTGTGACATATCCAAAACTGTAGCATTCTTTACAAAGGTCTTCAGTACATCTAATATTACTTCAACAATAAATGGAGTTGATCGCCACAAAATTCTATGTTATTTAAGGTTTCTTCCCACAGATTTTTGAACTGTTTGCAATAGCTGGCAGATTATGTTCCAATCAAGATGAGAGAGAGAGAGAAGGTGGCATCATTTGTTAATTTTTCAATTTGTGAAACCAGATAATGCAATATGCAAAAAAAAAAAACATTTCATGAGTTAGGGTTAAAAAGGAACCATTCACCCTAATACCCATAAACCACCTTGCCATTCTGTCAAATGAACTGAATTAAAAACAGAAGGCAAAACATACAAGTTATGTAAATAAAGAACACTTAGGCATTAATTTAGTCCCACAGTGACTGTAGCCGTCTGTTTGGCCTCCTTCAGATTGTGACAGGGCTGGTGTCCAACATATGCAAGGGTTCCCCATCGCTTTCATCACCACTGCAATGCTGTGGGGACAGTGGGGAGGGAGGAATCCTATTTTGAGAAGGAGACCTCTCAGGAAGGAGTGCCCATGCAGGTGAGGAAGTTGGTAGACTGTGTGTGGATGGCTCTCCTTCTACTCTTGTATTTTGTGGATGTGAGCTTCAGGAGGAAGATGGCTGTTTGTCAATTTTCTCCCGAAGTCTCTTTAAGAGAGGAGATAGCTGTGGACTACGCCACAGTGGTGACCTCACAACCCACACATCCTCTTGACTGCCCTCACCATTCTCCTTGCCACTCATGAAATTTGCATCAATTTATTGCAGAGCAGTCTTCTCTGCTTTATTTCTTCTGTCAGGTAGATTGTCGAGGTATTGTTGTCTTTTCGTTTCATAATACCTTGACACAGGGTACATAAAAATAGTATTAGGTTAATTGCTTATTATTTATTTATTACCCAAATTCATGAAAAAGTCTTTGATGAGAATCTTGTCCTAACATTGAAAGCTACTTTTCTCAAATTTATCCATTCGTTCTCTGAAGTAAATGGCAACCTTACATCAACATTCGATGAGAAAGTCAGGTTAGGTCATTTTCAAATTCAACCTATTAAATTGTTTGATATGCATCAAATGTGTTTCATAAGTTTCATTCAACAGGAACAATAGGGGTCTTCTACTAAAGGTAGGCACAAGACGGGTTACGCACCTCGAAAAGCTCTGTTTTAGGGTACTCTAGACAACAAACTTTCAGATGAATTAAACAAAAGTTTAAAAAATTTCTTACAAGGTGACCTCATTTTGTTGGACCAGAAAAGTAAATTGCATGCACACTCTAGTAGCACATTTATGTATGTACTTTAAAGAGAAAATCATATGAACACATCACTTACACTTGATAGTTGACTTTTCATAGTCATTGTTTTCCTTTTCCAGTTCCTTACTAAGAAATCCTCGAACAGCACTGTTGTGGGCAGTATCAATGCTACAAAGGAATGTTATAGTAGTAATGCTTTGTTAGAAAGGTGCATAAAGATGAACAAAATTAAATATAGGTTTAAGTTAGTGACCAAGCTTGTTTGGAAGGTGATAAAATTTTTGTGTGTTTATGAACTGAGACTTTGTCAAGATCTGTGAAGATGTAAAAAAAAAATGAAACAAGGCCAATTGCTCAGCATCTTGACTAAAATAAGATATTCACATGGCCAACAAAGTTTGCTTGTAGGAAAATGCTTGAGGGAAAATCACAGACAAATAAAATCCTGTCTTCCCCATTTGCCAGCCAATCGCAAAAAATCAGGGGACTTTGCAGTGAGCCGGAAACAAGTCACTTCAAGTTGTTTTAAATGACAGAAAAGACCACAATACACAAGAACACAGGCTTCTCCATCTCCTCGTGGTTTGCTTGGATCAAGATGGTGGACTATTAAGCATTGTGTAAAATCTTTTTTTGTCTTGTGAAAGTATTGCTTTTCAGTCACAAGTAAGCAAAGCTTTAATTTGTCCTGCAAATTTTAATGTGGCTTCTTGTTTTGAAATGTGCCACCCCTCTAGGAGGGACAATCTCTTAACTTTGGTTGTCCTTTGTCCCCACCTAGAAAGGGAAATTAAGTTCTTTGACTACACCCTTTGCAAAGTCCCCTCCCTTAACCAAGGTTCCCCCCTCCAGGAGATGGCTGATGATAGGTGCATTTCCAAAACATTCCACAGATGAACTCTTAATATCCTGAATAGATATCTTTTACTCACCCTTCACTTCCACAAAACTAAAGTTCAACTTCTTGTTTGTTGTGCAACAAGTGCACATCACCCTTAAATTCAAACAAAATTAATTATAAGAACATTAACGTTTCTTATAAGAACAGTGTATGTGGAATCAAAGGTGAAAAGTGAAATAAGGGAGTTAAGTTCAAATTCTAATAATATCATGGGTAACAAATTATGCTTACAATTGTGTGGTTTAAAATTTCTAGTCAGAATACAAGATGTTTTATTTACAAAAACAAACAACTTAGGGACAAATTAAGAAATAAATGTTTAATCATTTGTCTCATGATGTAGAGTCAGGCTATCAAAAGTTTGACAGCAATGTTTCCTACTGCTACACTGCTAGTCTTTGTCAGGCAGCAAGTTTGAATGTTTACATGTCGCTATATGTAGTACTTTGGTGTTTTGTCATTGGTGCGTTGTAGTACTCTGTCCTTGGTGAATTTCAATCCTCATTATTATTCCTACTAGCAGATGTTATTCCCTCATACATGTAGGTCCGCTTTGTTACTGACCAGCTGTGATGCTTTTTAACTGTAGCCATCCACACTTCAGAAATTTTGATCCCACTCTCTCTATTGATGTTATTAGGGTAAAGTTTTATGTGAATGGCTTCTTCATCAATAATGAGAGCAGAATTTAAATTCCTTAAGCATGGAAGCCCACAATCAAAAAGCACAACAGCTAGTCAGTAAAAAAGCTGACCTACGGGAGAACAACATCTGCTGGTTGGAATAATAATGAGGATCAAAATATCCCAATGATGGAGGGCCAAAATGTACCAATGACAAAACACCAAGGTGCTACATATAGCAACACATAAACATTTGACTTCATCACCTGATGAAGAAGACTAGCAGTGTAGCTGTCGAAACACCCAATCAAACTTTTGATAGCCTGACTCTAAATCATGAGAAAAATGATTAAATGCTCATTTATCTATTTAACCTCAATGAACAATAACATCTTCTTTAACTTAAGGACATTTTTGTAAATTATTACAGAAAAAAACAATCTATACTGAACTATGTGCAGTAACCTTTTTCAGTAGCTTTAAAACTAAATTGCAGAAGTTGATTTTCAGGCACTATTGGCAAATGATGTCTGACATTCTCAAAACTTCATACACTGGAGCAATCTTTGAGGCCGCCCCCCGAGTATTTATTATTCTCGGCTTAGTTTCAAACAAGCCATATGACATGCGGTATTAACATCACAAAGAAGGGAATACTGTCCCACAAGCTTAAAATACTTCCCATACCAGAATCGAAGCTTAAAAGGAAACGCCAATTGCTACAGTGCTGGAACAAAAATTTGCACAAACCTTTAGTTGCTTTGGAACCGGCCCACGGTGGATATTCTCCTTCTCGGTCGACTGAGGTTGGCGATCGAGCTTGTGTCGTACAGTCTATAGTTTCACTCAGTCTTCACCTCAGCCACTTCTTTACAAGCGTTTTCCAGTTCCACGCTCAAACTGTCTAGTTTGGCATTTTGCCGCTTTACTATATCCCTCAGTTCTTTGATTGTGTCGAACAACTGTCGAATTTCTCGGTTTGAGACCACCAGGTTCTCCCGATTTCTAATAGAATCTTCTCGTAAAGGTTCTGGATGGGATGGAACTGCGCTTGATCGGGCGCCGGTTGATGAGCTTGAGCCGAATGGTCGTCGACTCAAAGTGGTACTGGTATTACCACTCCGGAAGAAAGATGCAGCCACATCGATGTCAAAACTGAAACCGTCCAGCGAAGATTATGTGACGCGTCCACTGGTCGAGCGACGCTTCTCTTTCCCTTCTATTTCGTGTGAGCGACCCGTAAAGCCAATTATCTGCTTCTAGAGCAACCACGTGAGTAAGACTAACCAATGAGCGCTTTCGCATTGAATGTCACGCATTTTGTCGGCACTTCTGTCGGCACTTAACTCGGCAGCATATTAATCGATTGCTCAGAGTTCTTCACCAAGGCAGTATAATAGGTGAAAGTACGGATCAATTGAGAAGGAAATTTTGTGAAAACTGCGCTTCTTGGTTTGGGGAAAGCTTCTATTATGATCACATATGTGAAAAGTCCAGTTTGCAGAGATTAAACGTGAAAGGTGAGTTGAGTTAATAATGAGGTTGATCTTTCTGAACATAGGTCGACGATAGTTGAAATTCCTGAAAAGTTTTCTTCAGTCCTCATAGTGTTTTAAGCCCGGGTCGCACAAGATACAATACTCTTGATTATTTGCGATGGTTCAAAGTTAAGCCGTTTTGAGAGAAAGAAGAATCTTGTTCTGCGCGGGCTGGACAGAACTGAAAAACCCCTGCGCATGGTAGAGACTCGCGCATGGGGGAAACTGGGCACGACAACGTTAAACCATAGCAACACGTACGTGAAATGGCGGAATTTTCGAAAAAAAAAATTAACAGCGCCATTTTTTACTCCAGTTAAGACTTAGGTAGAACTCGCGCGCTTTAAACCTTCGCCAAAGACCGACTGGTAAGAGTGCTAAGACATATCTCCTGAACACAAACCAAAATTTTACAGCAAAGACAAGAGTCAAAGATCTCTGCTGGAACATCTGAAAGCATTACCAACAGTTTTTTAAATAGTAACTATCACCTGTAATATCAATTAAGCTCGGCTGTAACAGGTATTACAGGTTACGGGTTACAGCCCCTAATGACAATGCCACATGCACAGTACTTTTACAGCTCTGTCCAGGCTGTCTGTTATGGGCTGTGTTTATGTAATTACATTCAAAACTTTGTTGGGGCAGGGCCAGGATTTTTCAGACTTTTTCCTATGTATCAACATAAGGTCCACCAATCAATTAAATGTACAGTACTTCAGTTCTCTGTGGAAAATGACATTCAGATGTGGTAAAACACAGTCTGTTGCTTTACAGTGTTATATGTAAACAGCTTGATGCAAATTGACCTTTTTAATAATAATAATTTTTCTTTATTTGCTTTTGTTTTACTTTTGACTCTTGGGTACACACATCTGTTTGTGTGTAAAGGTTGTTATTTTATACCCCAGGAAATACACCTGTAGCAATGCTGTTGCATGTTGCTCTGTAAAAGGAGCCTCGCTGTATATCAGCTCATTGATGCTGATCAATCTGACATTCATCTTGTGCTGTTAGTCACTCCTAGAATTGGTGACAAGTTCTACTGTAACCACTGCAAGAAAACAGTGAGCTAAAGTACCTTCTACGAGCATCAGACACTATATGGTGATGTTGCATGTGGATTCTCTAGTCAAAATGTGGAGCTTGAGTTAGACATGGACTCTGATTCAGAAAATGAAGGTGCTCTTCCTTGTTGGGATGATGAAGACAGGCAGTTCTTTTCAGAAGGAGATTCTAGTGGTGGTGAAAATGAT